TGCCGGATCAATTTGACAAAATAAGTGAGCAGCTTCACTTAGATGGACATTTAAAATATATGAAAATATATTGTATACTAATTTCATATAAGAAAATAAATCATAAACTAGACCGTGCGAATGCACGGGTTGTCGACTAGTTTACCTCTAATCCCACTTTGAACTGCTGTGTTCGCTAAACTCGGGCGAGTTCAAGGCTTGGCCACTGCTCCAGTGACAATTTTTGGCTCCTGGTGTAAAATTGGGCCTAATGGGTTTCTACAAATCTCGCGCAACCCTCAAGTTGACTCATACGCCTTCCTTTATAGTCGGTTCACAGCGCCTCAAGATCCTAACCTCGTTCGCTTAGCGCGAATGGCAGCGATAAACTGCTTTGTAGCACCCCTCCATAACCTTGCCCGCCTCCACTTACCCGGCGAAATAAATTCTTCACCGACCTCTCCACTCTCGCGTGACTTGGGAATGAAAGCCCTATATTCACTGCTGCCTCCGCTGCCCCTGCCACCCCAAGCCCCACTATACGGTGATGGATCATACCTCTCACCTCGTCCGACTCGTGTCGTCCCCCTCACTCATGCTCCATAGCTCGCCTCCTGCCACTGCTCTTAGAGCATCTCCAACAGGCGCCCAAAAACTGGGCCGCGCGCTAAAATTCAGGTTTTTTGGGCGCCGGACAGCTCAAGCAGAAGCTGTAAAACAGTGCGCGCGCAAAAAAGAGTTGGGCGCACGCTGAAAAACGCTATTAAAAGCTGCAAATTTGAGGCGCCGGATTGCGTGTGCTTCACAATTTACACTGCGTGTTCTTTTGGGCGCGTATTTTTGGGCATCTGTTAAAGCAATATTGGGTCTGTCGCACTAAAAGTGCTCCAGTGGCGCGCTAAAACTATTTTAGGGCACTGAATTTTTGTGCACCTGTTGGAGATGCTCTTAGGAGCCTCGGGAAAAATGACACTCAAGGTGAGGGAGCACGTGTGTTATTTCCAACTCATGAGATCCGCAAGGACATCAACACACAGATGACTCATCGACCTCAAGTGCGAAAAGGCTTCACCATCCAATCAACCGCTATATGCTGTACCTAGAATGGGAACAAGGTCCATTTCTCTCCCCTTTTCACTAGCAAAGTTTATTTTCTCCTCGATATATTAGCTTCAACTATATAGGTACTGCACCCCCTTACATCTCCACCGGTCACATGCGTTTAGATTCGAAACATATAGTACGCGTGCTGTGTATAGTTCTCCGTATCTATTAATTCATGCAAACATATCACTGTGTATATGCATGCCCTTTTTGCAGATCCGGTCCCACCAGTAACCCTCTGTTTGCAGTTAATTCATCTCTATTTTTTAAAATAATATAATTTTTTAAATAAATTTTAGAAATATTACGGCATAATTATATATTTCAAAAATAAAACCCAGTCGGCCTACTGCTGGCCGATTGGAACCCAGTAGGCCCACTGCCTGTCGCCCAGTCTGTTTTCTCTAGGCCGACAGGTGCATGCACCCATTTATCTGTTGAATAAGTATTTGAAAAATGTTGAAGATGTATTTAAAAAAATGTTGATCATGCATATAAAAATGTTAATCAAGCATTTATATACATGATCAACATTTTTACAAATACTTGTTCAACATTTTTATATACATGATCAATATTTTTTCAAATACTTGTTCAACATTCTTTCAAATACTTGTTCAACATTTTTCCAAATAATTGTTCACCATTTTTTGCAAAAGCTTGATTAACATTTTTATATACATGATCAACATTTTTGAAAATATTTCTTCAACGTTTTTCAAATACCTATTCAATAGTTTCAAATATTTTTTCAACATTTTTCAAATACTTGTTCAATATTTGTTTTTCAAATGGTTGATTAACATTTTTATATGCATGAGCAACATTTTTTTAAATACTTCTTCAACATTTTTGAAATACTTACTCAACAGATAAATGGGTGCATGCACGCCATCCAATCGGCCGGCAGTGGGCTGACTGGGGTCCAATCGGCCAGCAGTAGGCCGACTGGGTATTATTTTCAAAAAATATAATTATGCCGTAATATTTATGAAATTTAATATAAAAATGTATTATTTAAAAATAGCACTAATTCATCTACCTCTGGGCAGAGCTCCCCACCCACCCCGTATTTACTCCCCGATCTTAGTCTGTCATTTATATGTGTGCCTTGTCTTCAGTTTAGGCTGCTATTCAGTTTACTATGTATTATGCGGAGAATCATATGTTGATCTCACCAGTAGTTTATCTTTAGTCAATCTTTGACGGGACGTTAGCGATCCAGGTAGCACTAAAGTACTGATATGTGTTGTAATCCTATTCCCCAAATATATATATATGTGTTGTGGTTTGTGATTTTACAAAATAAAAATAAAAATCCACCTGATTGTTATCTTATCTCCCGGCGCACATGTAACAGTAAATCATTGCCCTGGTGATTTATGTTGCCAAGATCTATATGAATTAATATTATTTTATAAACTGTTTACTGCTCTATAAAATTGACTTCTATTGTTTTTGGTAACGATCCACTCAGATGAAATTAATGTTGAGCACAAGGTGACCCAATCTCAGACGCACCACTCCCTGCTGCATCTGTCACCGGCATTTAATAATGGACCCATCTCACCACGTATGTAACGATTGTATTCAGCTCGTATATGAGCATAGAAATGCTTCATATTGATTAATGTGGAGATCTGGCTAGAGTAACGCATGACGAAGATTTCAGGGGGGACAGCACCTCAGAGCCACAAGTCCTCGTCCGTGTAAATATGCACTATATTGACCAGTTGCCGAGATTTAAATATTCAAACTAAGTTGATTGATAAATGTTTATTCTGAAAGGCCAATAGTTACTTTTCATACTTATTATTTATTATTCGGAGATTCCTTACTGAACCTCTGCAATTTTGTGTTCCACTTAGTGCTGAAAGTTTGTTCAGTGTTTCATGGAGATATTAAATCAGATCCGTTGTTTAGAGTTTTAGAATAGTATATTGCACTATGTAGCTTTTGTTGCGAACACGCCACCAAGATTCTTTGTGGATTTTCTGCTCGAAGAATGTAGCAAAGCTTTTTATAAGGAAGAAGTAATCTTCTCAACCATGATCCAGACCCACATATTTCCATGTAATGAGTTACAGACAGAATGGCATATCCGCTTGGTGAGGAGTTGTACCAACATGACTGTGGTGTGGTGCCTGGTGACCATGGAGAGTTAGGGACTTCAAAAAATGGTAGCATGTAAGCTATTTCTGTGTATTCGTTTAGTGAACACATAGTTACTTCAACATTTCCTTGATTTTTAGTGATAATCCAAAAATCTGGGTGCTTTCTTGCATAATTTGCCAGCACCTTAATGATAGTGGAGTTGTTCAATTCTGTCTGATCTTGTTAAATTTGCTACTACAGGCTAGCAGATGGAGATAAAGAATTAGCCTTGGCTGAATTCAGATCCGGTATACTAAGATGTATCGAACTATTTGTTCGATGTTGCATGAATAATGGTTGTTTTTATTTGTGCCAAATATGGTTGATTTCGGTACTGCACATGCTGTGAATTGGGACAAAAGGACCTCTGATGATTATTGTTTTCATGAATCTTGTCCATATTTCCAAATTGATCTATTTCACTACGCATGGATATGCTGCCAAATAAAGCAAAAATAATAATATTTATAACGCCGAACATGTGAATGTTAAAAACGACCCGTCAATATGGTGAATGCTAAAACGACTCGTCAATCCTCTTACACATCGTCCAAAAACTTATAACGCCACACATGTTTTACATGACGGCTTCATCTATTTATCAAACACACGCACGCACGTGCGCAACCGCTTTTGCTATAACATAGGCGCCTGTATTTTTTTCTAGTACAATCAATTTCCTTTTTTTCTTTTTCATGCGCGTTTACTTTTGTTATTTCTTCTCCTTTCTTCTGAGTCGGCTTTTCCTTCCTTTGTGTGTATATGTGGGCATGTGGGTTTATGCGTGTGTGTGTGCACATGTGTCTGTCGTGTGTGCGCATGCATGTGTATGTAGTGTGTGTGAGCACGTGTGATATCAATGTGAAACATAAAATCTTCTTCGATGTGTTCGTGTGTGCGTATGTGCGCGCGAGAAGATACTGTCAATACGAGATGAGGCGATCAATCTCCAAAGGTAAACGCAAGTATTATGTAATGTGTGTGCAACTTATACTATTACAAAAAAATTACGCTATTATATGATCATTCTTACATATTGTCAAAACGTGCAAGTTCTGCTCAAGTTTTTGTCATTATGTCTATATATGTATTTTTCATTTAATTTTTTTAGAGTAGTGCAAATGTCTTTAGTTCACTCAAGTTTGTAATATTATTTTAGTTTTAATTCTAATTTTTGTATACAGTCTTGTCGGAAAATAGGTGCCTGTCATCTAAAACAAATCAGTCACCTGTTAAGCAGAGAAAGAAGAAGGCAGATGGGCCTTTGGATCCCAATTAGACGGTGGAGTGCGAATTGACTGAAAATCAAGATAATTTTTTTGTGAGGAAAAATCAAGATAATTTAAGTCAATAGTCAGCCAAAAAAAGTGCATAAATTAATTATGGGCATAGAAACCCAGTCTTATCTTTCAGAACTCGATATATTTAGCAATTTCCGTAAGAGAAAAGATATATTTAGCAATATCTTCACGATGCACGAAAGATATAACTGTAGGGAAAGAATTGTGGGGTAGTAAGATACACACTGCTAAAAAATAGCATTAATGAAATTGACAGTCATCTTGATATACACACTTTGACCGCATAACGCTCTAATATAAATGGGGATGAAGGGAACCCATCTTGACCGCATAACGCTCTAATATAAATGGGGATGAAGGGAACCCATCTTGAATACTAAACGAAACGTAGATCTGCAAGACTTCTATTTGTAACCAGATAGCTAGCATCCGTCTCTTCCCCTGTTCAGCCAGATTTCTAAGATGGGGAATTCCAGTCGCCACAGCTCCATTTCCCTTGCAGTCATCTTGGTCTTTGCCGTCCTGCTGCTCAACGCTGATCTAGGGTCGTGCGGCTGCTTCAAGCGCATCTTCTCCTTCGGCGACTCCATCACCGACACCGGCAACTTCGCGTACATCAGCCGCAACAGTCCGCCGAGTCCGCTCTCAGTGCCCCCATACGGAGAGACCTACTTCCACCGCCCCACGGGCCGTGCCTCCGATGGGCGTCTCATCATCGACTTCTACGGTGAGTACGTACATGCATGCGCGCATGTGTGTTCCAACAGTTCGAAATTAATCCGTGTGCATGCTGAGTTTGGTGCCTGATGTTGTGTCAGCGCAAGCGTTGGGCCTGCCGTTGCTGCCGCCGAGCATTCCCGAGGAGAAGACGGGGAAGTTCCCGACCGGTGCCAACTTTGCCGTTTTTGGCGCTATTGCGCTCAACCCCACGTACTTCATGTCAAGGTACAACTTCAGTCTGCAGCGCGGGTGCCTCGACGAGCAGCTGGCTTCTTTCAAGAAAGTGCTCGCACGGATTGCTCCGGGAGATGGTACGTAACGCATGCAAAAACATACGTTACGGTCAGCTTATCATAGTCTAATTACGCCACTTGTCTGCATGCACATGTACTCCATATGTGTTCTTGGTCAACTTATTCTTTCTTTTTTTGGCTGTGATCAGCTGCCACCAAGAGTCTCCTGAGCGAATCCCTGGTCGTCTTTGGCGAGATCGGTGGCAACGACTACAACTTTTGGTTCTTCGATCATACGCACAGCCGGGACACGGCCAAGGAGTACATACCCGACGTGATTGCTCGCATAGGTGCCGGTGTCCAAGAGGTGATCAACCTCGGTGCCAAGACGGTCCTTGTCCCAGGGAACTTCCCCATTGGGTGCGTGCCGGTTTACCTGAGTGGTAACAAAAGCTACACGTCCACGGACTACGACCAGTACGGTTGCCTCAAGTGGTTCAACGCGTTCTCCCAGATGCACAACCAGTTACTGAAACAAGAGATCACCAAGCTCAAGTCACAGAACCCCGGCGTGAGGATCATCTAAGGTGACTACTACGGTGCCTTCATGGAGTTCGTCAAGAATCCTAGCAGGAATGGCATTGACAAGCCTCTGGTGGCGTGTTGTGGTGGCGATGGCCCCTACGGCACTGGCCATCTGTGCGACCAGAACGCGAAGGTTTGCCCCGACCCGTCGAGGTTCGCCAACTGGGACCAAATCCACATGACAGAGAAGGCATACAATGTCATCGCCAATGGGGTGGTCAATGGCCCGTACGCCGACATCCCGTTGCTCCAGGCTTGCTAGGAGAATCCAGTTCCTTCATTTTCAGATTTGAATAATTATTGCGGCTAATGAATACTCCCTTTGTAACAAAAATATAAGACATTTTTTTGGTGACGTCTTATATTTTATTACAGAGGTTGTTATTTTGTACCATATGCGTATCGAAAAGTGCAACAGTGGGAAAATTAAAAATAAATTAAGACATGCATTATTGGCTAGTCTTGTTTTACATATGGTCAGCGGCCAAAAGGTATTATGTGTGACTCCATTATTAGTATATGAAAAGTTTCAAGCATCAAAGGAGTAAAGAATATAAAATTAAATATGCATGAACATTAATGTGTTAGAAATATACCCCACATGCAACATAGTGATGATTATATTCTTATCCATGAGCTATTGAAAGTTCATTGAATAACATCATTTATATTGATTGACAAATACTCCTATGTGACTTGTTTGTGAAACTCTATGCTTGAATAATTATAAACTAGTCCCGAGTCAGAGTTCATGTGAGGACACATATGAATATAAGACTATCACATGTATTGGTTGATGACCATGTTTCACAAGTCATGGTGGTGGGGATGTCAAACTAATAATGTGGCATGTGTTAGGAACGGGTGGTTGGACAGACCCAACTTGACACATAGTATGAATGCTTTTAGTTGTCTTTTACAATGTATATGATATGTCCTTGGAGCCAAGATTGTCGTATGTGTACTTGAGATGCATAGTGACTTACTTAGGGTTGCCAAACGCTACTGCTTTATCGGATGGTTATAAAGGTTTCTTCTTACTCAGCTCGAACAACCACAGTGTAGCTACCAGAGTACCATCCAACATAGAAGATCCATAAAGCTCCTCATCGAATATGGCACAGATGCTACAAGCCATGTTACACTCCAACAACAAATGCATCCCCGTATCCACCTCAACCCCGCAGAAGGAGCAACTACGGCCATGTTACACTTTAGCAAATAGTGCCTCCATGTATCCACCTCAAACCCGTAGGAGGAGCATGATGTCTTCTTCACCATGTTTTGGTGAACTCAAACTTTGCTCGTAGGTAGGGACGAGCAAGCTATTCACCATTCAAACATCCTTAGATTTAATGGGAGCTTAATGATACGCCCTAAATGTATCTACAAATTTGTTCTATTCATACCATATACTATAATTATGCAAATTTTAGAATTTATTTGAACTAATAAATTAACAAAGTGCTCAAAGCTGATTCTTGATTTTCAGTGATTATGTTTTCAGGGAAAATAGGTATTTTGGACTTACGGGAAAAACAAAAAGATATGAGGATTGTTTTGCACAAAAAGAGAGTGAATAGGCCAGGACCCATGCCTAGAGGAGGCCTAAAGGGACTGGGTTAGAGTGGGAGCCTGGATCCAGCCTAGCGAGCCTTCGGTGCCGAATGGCTCATATATAGCGCCTCCTAGATATTCATCATCTATTTTTTTCGCATCCGACACTTCAAGAACCGAAGCGATCTCATCTACAGCCCTATTTCAGTATACTACCGTAGGGGGGGGGGGAGTCGTCACTTTCTTTGTCAACATCGAGTGTTGATGCTCCCATGACAATGTGTGAGTAGTCCACTCCCTGTACTATGGGTTCATAACAATATCCATGATGCAATATCTCCTTTATTTCTCAATATAAAGATCGCATGAGGTGCCCTACATGATTGTAATCCATCTGATTTATTTTTAGCGGCGATGTTATCTATGTGATGAATTTTCCTTTTGTTTAGATTATGTGTGATGCCTTTGCATGAGCTATAGTTGTGTATTTTTCTATGATTATTTGATTTCTCCTAGACAACTTTGCTGAATAATCAATAGAGAGGGTTTTGTGCATTATTTTGGTTTGAACTTTGCAAGCATTAGTTCGGTTTAATCTTGCAAGTAGCCTACTGCGGTTAGAATAAGTTGAAAAGTCTTATGGAGAGTGACAACTGATGTACTTTTATGTTACTAGGGATCAGACTACTGATCCCTAGCATTCCATCAGACCAGGTAATGACCGTATGACTAAAGTTGCGATTACCATCTGATCTTCTAAATAGAAAGGCCCGCTCCTCCATATAGCACGGCCCCACTAATTTCTCTGCTGGCGTGCTTCCATAACTGCTCTGCATGCTTCTAGTAAGTGCTCCGGTTAATTGCTCCATGTGTTGTTAGCACATCTCCAAACCAGGAAATTGATGCATGATGTTGCGTACAATACACTGGAGATTTTGATTCAATAGTGGAAGATTTTGCTTCGGTTTGAAATAGATTTGTGTTCACATAATGGGATATTTTTTATTGTAAGATGACTTTTATGTTTCTCGTAACGAGTTTTTTTTTTCACGAAACTGATTAGAGTTGCACCTCTTTGAAGCGCATCAATTTTTTGCTTCCATCGACTATAAAACTGCTTCCAGTCAAATAGTAATTTGCTTCCATCTAAGAGTAAAATTGTCTTGTTTATCACTCTTTTGTTTTCATCAACTAGAGTTGTTTTCAACCAAATAGTTTGTTTCCATCAAAAGAAAAAACATTGCACTATCACAACAACACATGCTTCAAAAGAACTAGCCATTTGCTTCCATGGACCAAAAAATTATGTTCCGCAGTCCCAATAGACAAACAATTTGAATTAAATACATGCTCAAACAAACTGATACTTGCTCGTAGTAGTTTCCTACTTGCTGTTGTACGGGAAGTGACAAACTACCATCAAGTCATTGCCTTCGGCGTGGCTCCTCAAGGTGCACATTATCTTGGTGTAGGAGCATGCATCACTCATCTATGTGGTGCTTCGAACTGTAATTAATGTTTCTTCCAACGAGCTGGTGCTTCCAATGATATATCAAAATCACATGTGAATTGCTTCAAGCAAAACATTTGTTTTCAACTGGACCAATTAAAGGTTTAATTGGAAGCATATAAGCAAGGTATGTTTGGTGAACTAGTTTGGAAGAACAACTGTCTGGCCGAAGCATATAGTTTGGCATTTTGAAGCAATAATAAAGTGGATGGAAGCATACAACCACAATATCTAGCAACATCCTTTAAACGACCAGCCGCATATCGATTCTTCAACATATAATCTGGTTCGCGCTGCTTACTTGTCGAGTGTCGACTGAGGGCATACGAAATGTAATATGTTAGCAATTCTGAAAAAAGGATTAGGTGGAATAAACAAATACATTGGCATGGATGTTCAGATTCATTATCCATTCGTTAGAATCAAGAAAGCTCAGTTGTTGACTCGGGTTAGCAAAGATGTAGGAAGCATGAAAACATGCCAACTCAATATTACAGATATTTATATGAGCACATATCACTCATATTAGATAAGAAAGTAAGCATGACACTATTATGAGGATGCATCTATTGTGTCACCAAGATACAAACTGAACCAATAAGATGATGATTGGAAGCAATTTTCTGGCCTAACGAAAGTTAATATTTACTAAGTAGAATCGCCCTCATTAGAAACATGGAAATTGTACAAGGTTGATAGGTACCGTTACTTGGAATAACTAATTTTTATATGAAGCATGGACAATTGGTACTGGATAACAAACTGAGCTTGATAGCAAGATGAGGATGCATCTGCACTGTCACCAACTTTCAAACTACACTCATTTTTTCTGATGATAGGTGGAAGCATTTTCCTATACTAGGGTAACAACATGATTATAACGTAGAAGCACCCAGGTGTCAGCTGGACAAAAATGCAAAGGGTGCATTATTAGTGTTAGATGGAAGCATTATTTGTGAAACTCCGTATAGAGGAAGCAATGAAATAATATTATCTCAATAGTTCTCACCTCAGTACAGGAATCAGCTTATTTGCCGTCTGCCATGGCGGATGGCAAAGGAACCAAAAGCGGACGGAAAAGCTCTTTGCCGTCTGCCACCGACGGCAAACCCGTCGGCAAAGATTGTGACGGTAAACATGTTCTTTGCCATCGGTGGCGGACGTCAAAGAATATGGACGGCAAAAACCATGCGTTAGCCACGTTAGGTGGCTAACGGCAGCCTTTGTCGTCCACCAGTGGATGGCAAAGCTGCCCAACCCTTTGCCGTCTGCCTTGTGACGTCAGTAGACCCAGCTCTTTGCCGTCTGCCACGGATGGCAAAGTGACCAAATGGGTCAGCTTCCAGGTTGCACAGGTTGCTGCCACGTGGCTTCTTTGCCGTCCGCGGCAGACGACAAAGTTCCTATATTGTTATTGTTTTTTTCTGTTTTCTATTATATCCCTGCATTTTCAAAAGATATATATGATATATATAGTTTCAACGTCAAACATAGCCCATGTATCAAACGTCTAGCAGTCCATCAATGCAACAGAACACATAGGGTATTAAAAGATCCAATACATACATAGTTTCGCGGAGTTCGTCCATATATACAAACATAGTTTCATATTGTTCATCAATACAAGTGAAAAAAATAACTAAACACTAGCGGTCCATCAATGCTGCTTCCATGAAGTGAATCAAACCTGCAAAAATGGGAGTAAGAAAGTTAGAAGAAGAAGAAGGCTAGAAGAAGAAGAAGACTAGAAGAAGAAGAAGAAGAAGAAGAAGAAGAAGAAGAAGAAGAAGAAGAAGAAGAAGAAGAAGAACAAGAAGACTAGAAGAAGAAGAAGAAGAAGAAGAAGAAGAAAAATAAGAAGAAGACTAGAAGAAGAAGACTAGAAGAAGAAAGAAGAAGAAGATAAGACTAGAAGAAGAAGAAGAATTTTCTTCTTCTTTTTCTTTTCTCATCTTTCTTCTTCTCTTCTATCTTTTTATCCCTTCCCTCCTCATTCTCATTCTTCTTCTTTTATTCTTTCTTTTTCTATTCTTTCTTTTTCTCCTCTTTCTTGTTTTTCTTCTTCTTATTCCTTATCTGTGTCACTTTAGAGCTAACATAGGTAATTATGCCATTTTTAGCCAACTAATATTATTATGTCAATTTGGAGGAAAATAAGGTAAGCATACGTCATTTTTATGCTAACCTACGTGATG